TGGTAGTTGTACATGATTGGAACGGTATAACAGGTTCTGAATGTTCTAGGTGATGTTCACACTAAACACAGGGTTCCCACGGTCATGAAAATCCTGGAAAAGTCCATTTCTAAGCCTGGAAAAGTCATGGAATTTTTGTATCTCTTTCACACAACTCCAGCATTCTGTTAAGTTCTCATTAGGCTATTATGATTATTTCTGAACGTTTGCGCCTTTTGTTTAAAAGAGACGACAATAAATGCACTGACAGGATTTTGAATGTTAAAAAACTATAATCCCAGACCATAAGGTGAGTGGAAAGGGTTAACATTTCATATTTAGCCATAAAAATATGATCAGTTCTACACATGTAGGAGCCGTAAACACTGTTGGGCAAGTTACTTCAAAACTGTAATTATTGCAGCACTTTTAAGTTACTCTCACCAAAATAACTATGAAAATGCTGAACTTTTGCACCGTATATGGACTAAACCAGGACTAATCCAGGTCTAAACCAAAACTGAACCAGAGCTGAAACCGAACTGAACCATGAGTAAACCAGAACTGAACCAGAACTGAACCAAAACTGAACTCGGACTGAACCAGGACTAAACCAGGTCTAAACTAGGTCTAAACCAGGACTAAACCAGGTCTAAACCAGGAGTAAACCAAGACTAAACCAGGAGTAAACCAGGACTAAACCAGGTCTAAACCAGGAGTAAACCAAGACTAAACCAGGAGTAAACCAGGACTAAACCAGGAGTAAACCAGGACTAAACCAGGTCTAAACCAGGTCTAAACCAGGACCAAACCAAACCCCGAGCCCGTGGAGCAGGTGTCCTCAAAGCTCGACCGGGCGTCATCTGCAATTCACCCCGTGAAGCTCGGAGTTTTGTGGCGGTCCTTTCGCCCGCGGTCACCCGACGGTCTACGTGGGCATATTTCCGGCATTTCACCACTGCTGATACCGCGGTGATTTTAGTGAATTTGAAGAAAAACGAAAAACCCACCACTTCAATCCAGGTTAAAAAAGCATTGTGATGCGCGTTACTCACATTTGTACCGAGTAAAATATTATTATTTTTTTTCCCTGTAATGCCACAGTACTGTGTTACAACAAAAATGCATTACAGTAATTCGTTACTTTTATAACGCATTACACTGACCATAAAGTCATGGAAAATTCACTTTAGGTCATGGAAAAGTCGTGGAAAAGTTTTGAAACAGTGGGAACCCTGTACGCAAAAAGTCGTCGAGAATTTAGAAATGAAATTGCCATTTTATTTTGATTTTCAGGCGACAGTAGCTTAGTTTTTAAGAATGTCTGTCTACTGATCAGAAGGTTGGAAGTTCGAATCCCACTCTCATCTTTGATTGAGCAGTCATTTCCACAGGTTGATGGTGCGATTCCAGCTTTTTTCAGGCGCTTTGAACATGGAAAAGCGCTGTACGTAATCTATTTATTTAAAACTTTTGGTATTTCATACACAAAAAGTTAAATCTGTATCAAAATTTGTGATAAATTTACGAAAAACACAAATTTTACTTTCCAAAACAAATCTTTTTTCAAAACTTCAATCCATATTTTTACTCTGTCTAAAAATTATTTACATTAAATTTGAAAATTTTCGACCACTTTCGACTTTTAGTGTGAACGAAACCTTGTAGATGATTTTTTTTTCTTTTCTTTTTAGCATAACATAAAATTCAAAAACGGTTGTATCTGACTTTGATTGACAGCCCTGAGATGTCAAATTTCGATGACTGACATATGTTTAGTAATATTCTAAGATATTTTCACAATTCATCAATAAGTAAAGTCTATATAAGACATCATTTTGAGTCACACACTGAAGCGGCTCAGACATAAAATCACCTTATAACATAAATTAAATAAAAATTACATACAAAATATACAATAAAAGCTTAAATATCCCAAGTCCTTTATATAGAGGGTCTAATAAGAAAATAAATGCTATTAGTTGACTTTGGTGAACTTTTTTTTTCTTCAATTCAAACAACATTCCAGCTCAAATCTCAATCAAAAAGCTTTCAGATCCTCCTTGTCTTCCTCTGTCCTGATTGGCTGGTCAGGATTTACAACGAGGAAGGAAACATTCAACAATAAAGTTTTTTGTCAAACTTAAGTGGCTGCTTAAGTTTGAAACATCTCAAAACTTTCTTTAACACTTTCAGAGTACAATCAGACATGGCTTTCTTTTAGTCCACACTGCAAACAAAAACATAAACACACAAACAAACAAACAAAAAACAAAAAAAAACATATTTGAGTTGAGTTGACTTGAATTCAGAATCTTGATTAGTTTTTACTTAAGATTTTTAGTTTAGATTTACAAAAAAGAATTGTTGAGTTCAAATTAGTCTACTTTTCTAAGTAAGTGAAAACATAAATTTTGAGTAGATGAACAAAAAATTCATATCTTAGCTTTGATTTGACGTAAAAACAAGTTTGGAAACACATTAGACCATAAATTTTTAGAGTGTATGTTTACATTTGACTTAGAATTACTTAGAATTTTTAGTTTGGTTTACTCAACATAGTTAGTAACTCTGTTTTTCTAAGTAAGTGAAAGTATACATTTTGAGTAGATGAACTAAAAATTCATACCTTTGCTTTGATTTAATTTGACAAAAAATGGATGGAAAACAAATTACACCATACTTTTTTAGAGTGTATGTTTACATTTTACAGAGAATTACTTTAATTTTTATTTGTTTTACACCATGTAGTTAGTAACTCTGTTTTTCTAAGTAAGTGAAAGCATAAATTTTGAGTAGATTAACTTAAAATTCACACTTTTGCTTTGATTGGACATAAAAAAAAGTTTGATAACAAAGTACACCATACATTTTTAGAGTGTATGTTTACATTTTACTTAGAATTATTTAGTATTTTTAATTTGTTTTGCACCACGTAGTTTGAGTTTTCGAAAATACTAAGTAACTCTGTTTTTTAAAGTAAGTGAAAGTATAAATTTTGAGTAGATTAACTAAAAATTCACATCTTTGATCTGATTTGACATAAAAAAAAGGTGGGAAACAAATTACACCATACATTTTTAGAGTGCATGTTTACATTTAACTTAGAATTATTTAGAATTTTTTTACTTTTCTTACACCACATAGTTGGAGTTTTCGAAAATACCGCAAAAATACATTCAAACAACTTGTAAAACTACTAAAAAATATTAATTATTCTGAACTTAAGTCAAGTCAACTCATATAGATATAGATTTTTGCAGTGTACAAAGAATAAAAATAAATAAAAAATAAAAAGGTTTAAATAATAAAACAGCTAGATTACATCGATATGTTTATATGAATCTAAACTTTCGGCACAACTTTCTAATGCGGTTATATTTGTGATCTGATTTATGGAGTTAAGTTTTACCAAAAATTATTAGTCTAACTATTGTCTACGTTTCTTGGTTATTTAAAGGTGCATTGTGTAACTTTTCTCCATTTGAGGGTCTGTCAGATGCTTTGGTACATGGAGAATTTGTGTGTCATTCATTCATTTGTTTTTCAAAATAAAACCAAAACTAAAAAAATGAAAAAAACAACTATTGTCTTCATTATTTGTCTCCAAAACCAAAATGAAAAAACAGATAATGATTTGTTTTTTCAGTTTTCGATTTTGTGTTTAAATGAATAATGGAAAAAACGGATAACAACCATTTCCCGTTTATGTGACTTAAACAATGCCGGACTGAACTAGGACTAAAACAAAACTAAAACAGGACCAAACCAAGTCTAAACCAGGACTAAACCAGGACTAAAATAGGAATGAAACAAGAACTAAAACAGGACTAAACCAGGTCTAAACAGGAATAAACAGGACTAAACTAGGACTAAACCAGGTCTAAACCAGGTCTAAACCAGGACTAAAACAAAATTAAAACAGGACTAAAACAGGACTAAACCAGGTCTAAATCAGAATTGAACCAGGACTAAACAAGGTCTCAGTCCTGGTCTTGTCCTCATCTGGTCCCGGTTTCCTAATCTGGTTTAGTCCTGGTTTAGGACTTAGACCAGGACCAGAACGGGACCAGAAAGGGACTGAGACTGGGGCCAGACCAGTCAAATACTGGACACAAATACTGAAGAAAATAGTTGTTGTTATTTTTTCGTTTTCTTATTTTTGGTTTTATTTTGAAAAACGAATGAACGAATGACACACGGATAATGGATTATGTTATCGCTTGCCGAGTTACAGCTCAAATCTGTGGAGAGGCGACCCCGCTCACGGTCAGAACGCCTGTTTTTTAAGTATTTTTGAGCTATAAAACCACCTGTAATTGAATAAATTTAGTTAAGTAGAGCTGTTTAATGTCACACTGCGGAACATTCCAGGCTGAGCGACGACGTATCCATAGAAACAAGCAGGTGACGGACCCCTGAACGAAAAGTCACACAATTAAGATAAGAACAGAAGAACTTTTTTTTTGGATTGACAAAGCATGAACGACAAATGTCCGCATAAAGATCTAAGCATTTACATTGATACACATCGCGACAGTAGACTCTCCCTGATGTTATTTTTGCTTTTTTTTTTCATATATTTTCAACAAAATGGGAACAAAATCTACTTTAAAGGGTAGACATTTTTAGCTCAGCCTTCCTTCTCCGCCTCAGCTCTAGACCGGGATCTGTGACTCATGCAACCGTCGGTAAACTAACCCTAAGCTGGACGACATGCATGCGGCGCGTAGCTTCTTCTGTTACGGGTTTAATTTATGGAGGAGGTCAAGGTATGCCCGGGGGGAATGCTGTCCACGTGGTCGGAGCAAGATGGCGGGCAGTTGCTGGTTAAAAGAACTCTACATATTTCTACGATTATTTACAACAGTGGACTATCGGGAAAGCAGGTGACGCGGCCCTGAGCGAGGAAGTCAACAGAAGAGCGGAGAGCGGAGATTACGTTACAAAAACAATGCGCGTGTGTTTTTAGCTCGTGTCAGTTTCGGAGGGGGCGAGGGATTAATACGGAGCGGAGAGGGGTCCAGATGAAGATGACGCAGAGGAGGAAGAGGAGAAAGAGGAGGAAGACGGGGCGGGGCAGCATGCAGAGGGGGCGGAGTCCAAACGGGAACAGTGCTCGGTCACAATCTGGAAGAGAAAAGAGGATCCAGGTTAGGGACAAAAAGCATAAAGTTATGAATCCTGGCTGTTTACAGTGTAATGTTTAAGGCAGGGGTCATCAAACTAAGGCTGGCGGGCCAACTCCGGTCCTCCCCACCCCTTTGACCGGCCCCCCAGCCCCTTTGGTTTCCACGAAGTGAAAACCGTCTGACCTTGCAGCATTAGGATTCGTTCGCTCGACAGTAGGCGGGTACTTTTTTCATTTTACCAGTTGCTGCTATTTGGTTGTGACGTATGTAATGCACCGCTAACGGGGCTAACTGGTATATTAAGCTTTTCCCAAATGCCGTAGGTAGAAGGGCAATAACGTCTTTCCCCTTGAGAAAATTCCCCAAACATTCTCTTTGTTCTGGTTTTAACTCCTCAATCTCTGGAATCATTGACAACACAGAATGTCTAGCTCTTCTCTGATTGGCTGGTGCCCAAACTTGCACTTCCGGGCTTTTGCGAACCGTCTAGTGTATTATGATTCCTGACCTAGTCGCTGGAGAGAAATGAAATTGAGTGGAGGCACTAGATGGCGCCGGCCTGGCTAAGCCCCTCTGCCCCCAACACTTGAACTGGCCCTGTGACGCAACACATCTACAGCTTGTATTTTGTAGATTTTTTCAATTTTAAAAATATATTTATATTAAATATTTAGATTTATATTTAAATAATTATATGATGTATTTACATTTGCCAAATTTTTGTCACCTGGCAGGTTCGAGATCAAACGGTGACAGCTGACACACGCACAGAGTTCTGTAGTGCAGTTAAGGACAGCAAAATGGCGAGTGTTAAAGTATGAAAAGTTGGCAGAGAGTGCCGAGTTTTCAAAGAACAGTAGATGAGGATTAGTAGACAACCAGAGAAAAAAGTTTGGTGATCCTTGGTTTAAGGCATTTCACTTTTTTGTATTAAAATTAATCTATAAATAAGCTCTATAAAATGTTTGCCATCTGTAATTCCAGAAGAATTTGTGAGGTTGTCCTCTATTTGCTTGTCTCCATGGAGGTTTTATTGCTTTCCCTGGAATGTGTGGTATTAAAACTGATCTATCTTGTATTTCTTCATTTCTTTCTATCTTGAATTTCTTCACCAGTACGTTGCAAAAAACAAATCTACCCAAGTTAAGATGACTTGAATTAAATAAGTTTTATCATGATTTGAGTACATTTCACTGGACAAGTAAAATGATCTGCCAGTGGAACAAGACTTTTTGTACTTAAAATATGAAAATACATCTTGCTGCACTTAATATAAGAAAAACAACACCTTTTTGCACGTAAAATAAGAAACAAAATCTTATGTTGCTTGAATTAAGAAAAGAACATTTATTCCACTGGTAGATCATTTTACTTGTCAAGTGGAATCTGCTCAAATAAAGTAAAATGTTCTTAATTTAAGTTGTTTTAACTTAACTAGATGTTGTTTTTTTCCAGTGTAAAAGGGCGGATTGACAAACTGATCCTTAAAGCTTCTCACGTGATCGGCTGTGAGCTGGAGACATTTGTCACAGTGACACAGGGACAGGAGGACACTGGACAAACTGTCTCCATCATGGACACTCCTCCTGCTCACACACTGCACCAGACTACAGAGGGACAGAGAAGCTCATTCTCCAACTTGCTCCTACAGCTCTATTATATTGTTTTATCCTTTGTTGTTATTTTTAATATATTGTGATGTGTGAGCTACTGTGCACAAGTAATTTCCCCTGTGCATCAATAAAGTCTGTCTCAGTCGAAGTCTAATGTGTGTGATTAAAAAGTCAGTTCTCTTGTTTGCTTGACTTCTTTTCTAGACTCTCTGTATTGTTCACAAAAGTGGACTTTGAGTTACAATTTCTCCTTTAAAATCACGTTATGTTCAACTACAGCTTTGTTGATGCCATTCCTGGATTTTGAAAAAAATCCAGGAATAGACCTAACAGCTAAAAATAAGTGTAAGGTAAATAAGTGTACAGTGTTCTGGTGTTATCCTGTGGACTGACCATTGCATTAACTGGCGGCAGTCTCCTGCTGCATGATGAACTGCCGGTTTGAGTCATCCACCTGACTGCCACAGTGCGCATCAGGCCTGAACAAAAACAACAGATTTACACTAAATAATGATGTAAAACGACAGTGCATTTAATATCAGACAGACACGTCTCTTGTCTCTGTCTGCACAGTTCACAACACTTTTTCTCCCCCATCACCAGGACCCACTGTCTCACAGAACAGTCAGCCACAGGTGACAGAAAAAACACATGACCAGGGAAGTACATATGTCCACACAGCTCTGCGCGCCTGAAGCACAATGTCGTGTAGATACGTTTGGCGGTCAGCTGATGCCCTCTCATGCTGCTCATGGTGCAGAGTTTGTGGTGAGTGAGTCGTGTAAAAGGACCAACCCAACAGTGAAGCAAACAAAAGGAAGTAAACATAATTTGGGATTCATAGAACCATAGTTACAACTTTTATTGTGCTCATGCTCAGTGGCGCCTGGTCAATAGAGGGCACAATAGGGCCACACTCCCTAACTTGACCTAGATAAAAAATTTATAAAGTCATTATTTTGTATGTAGGCCATATGATTCATATTTTGTTTAAAATTGAACGTGTATCTGCATAAACATATTTTATCATGTTAAATGTGCTGTTTTCCTCACTTGTTAGTGACAATAGTGAGCACTGACTTAGTCTATGTTCAAACTGCAGGGCTTGATGCTCAATTTGGATTTTTGTGTGAAATCCGATGTTTTTGTGAGGTCGTTCACATTTCCAATTAAATGCGACTTGTATGTGACTCCAGTGTGAACATTAAACGGCCCAAAAGTGTCCCACACGTGCACTGGAGGACACGACGACATCAACCGCAGAAAGCGTGCTCTGTGTTTATGGAAGTTGTCCAAACATGGACGCGAGCATTGAGCACCTGGAGATTTTAAAGTTCTTCTTGTACCAGAGCCAGAACATGAATAGCTTACTTGTTTTAAGGAGGAGATTGAAAAGGAGAAGGAGGAGGTTTTTGGCCGTGGTGTTTTGTGGGACAGTGGCAGCGACGTCTGTTGAAAGGAACATGTGGATGTGGAGACATAGCCAAGAGTGGTGGGATAGTGATGTGCTTCGCTTCAGTGAGTTCATTAACAATTTTTGTATGATGAGAAGAATGTTTGTGTACATTTGTGAGTGCGTACTTATGCCACTCACGCGGGAGGAAACACATCTTTGGCTATTTTCATGAGCAAACGCGTCGAAGTTGGGCTGTATTGGCTTGAAAAAGGTGCTTGTTACTGCACAATAGCCGTTCAGACTGAAGTCACATGTCAAAAGATCGGATATGTATTGTTTTAGGAGCACATATCCAAGTGCCCTGGGTCGCATTTGAAAAAATCGCATCTGTGTCGTTCAGACTGTCATTAAAAGATCAGATACAGGTCACATAGGGCCAAAAAATCGGATTTGGGTTACTTCAGGCTGCAGTCTGAACGTAGCCTTAGTTCTGTTTCCTTCAGTGTTGGGTTGGTCCTTTTACACTCATCAGTCAGCACAAACACTGCACCATGAGCCCTGCGTGTGCTCTGTGCATCAACATGAGCTCTGTACATCACCGAGCCGCCACAGTGAAAAAACACACTTTACTCTGTTTACTCAGGTTCATTCAAGTCAAATAACAGAGCGCACAAGGAGCCATTTAGGGCTTACGGCTCAGGAGGAAAGTGGTTATTCAGCAACAATTACGCAACCTACACAAAATCTCGATGTTTACATGTTTAAAATACATAAATACTCTTTAAAAGGTAAAAGCTGTGATACATTCTTGTAATTGTAATAATTAAGTGAACCATAAATTCAGATGCTGCACCATTAAATCCATGTTTTTGTTTTTTACCCCTCACCTGTTGTCGTTGATGTCTCTTGTGTCACTGATGCTGTTTCCTGTAACACAACAGAAGAGAGTGCACATGTTTTCACTGTTCTGTCTGTATTTGTGTAAATGTGTGAGTATAATTATAGATAAAGAGCCACACCGTTGTCGATGTTGAGAGGGTACGACTCCAGGATGTCTCCGTTATATCTGCCTGCTCTGTAGCCCAGCGCTGTGGAAACTCTGGAAAACAAAGAAGAAGAGGTTTATTATACGGTTTGTGTAATAAAACATTGTATCAGTAAAATAGAGCTGAAGAATTAAGTACTTTTCTTGCATAAATATAATGTAAATTCTGTTCATTTTAAAGTTATTCAGGTCATGATGAGATGCAGATTATAAAGACATTAAAGGTCTATATAAGGTCAGTGGTAATATTTTCTTGATAAATCCCTTTTATTATTTTATTTTCCAGGTAAAGACTGAGGGCCACTGTTGGGCAAGTTATTTTAAAACTGTAATGTGTTATTTCTGACTTGTTTCTCTCATTTTAAAATCGTTTATTACATTAAAATATTAATGTGTTTAAAACTTAAAACATTACATGAATATTGTTTTAATTTTAAGTTACTCTCAACAAAATAAGTGTGTGAAGATGAAGAACTTTTGTGTATGGACTGAACCGAGGACTGAAGCGAGGACTGAACCGAGGACTGAAGCGAGGACTGAACCAGGACTGAACCAGGACTGAACCAGGACTGAACCAGCACTGAACCAGGACTAAACCAGCTCTAAACAAGGACTGAATTGAGAACTGAACCAGGACTAAACCAGGACTAAACCAGGATTGGACCAGAACTAAACCAGGTCTTAACCTGCACTGAACCAGAACTGAACTAGAGCTGAACCAGGACTAAACCAGGTCTAAACCAGAACTGAACCAGGATAAAACCAAGTCTAAACCAGGTTTAAACCAGGACTGAACCAAGTCTAAACCAGGTCTAAACCAAGTCTACACCAGGACTAAACCAGGACTAAACCAGGTCTAAACTAGGACTGAACCAAATCTAAACCAGGTCTAAACCAGGACTAAATCAGGGCTAAACCAGAGCTGAACCAGGACTAAACCAGGACTAAACCAGGACTAAACCAGGTCTAAACCAGGACTGTACCAGGACTAAACCAGGTCTAAACCAGGTCTACACCAGGACTGAACCAAGGGCTGAACCAGGACTAAACCAGGTCTAAACCAAAGATAAACCAGGACTGAACCAGGACAAATTTTGGACTAGGACTTGGAATCTAGGACGGCCCCTGGAAGAACCCTGAGCCCGTAGTGCAGGGTGTCCGCTCCGTGGAGCGTGGAGTTCTGTATTGGTCCTTTCACACTTCAGGCCCATCCCGACACTCGGAACCGTAACGATGGTGTTTCACCGCTGCTGAGATCGCTGTGATTTTAACAAATTTATATGAAGAAAATCGAAAAACCCACTACTTCAGTCCAGGTTAAAAAACCATTGTGACACGCGTTACTCACATTTGTACCAAGTAAAATATTACTATTTTTGCCCTGTAATCCCACATTACTGCATTACAGCAAAAAGCAACACATTACAGTATTTTGTTATTTTTATAACGCATTACTCCCAACACTGGTGAGGGATCATTGTACATGGGAGCAAAAGTGTAGAATATTTGGATAATATCAATAATATCTGTTGCTGTTGCTCTCACGTGTTGGTCTGCACAGAGTTGGGGGTCCCGCTGGTGCCCGTGGGGGCCGTCTGGGGGACACTCTTCTGGAACAGGGCATTGCTGTAGGCGTTGGCCTGCTCTGTGGATCGGATGTACGTGTAGAAGGGGTTAGTGGGCGAGCACACGGGCAGCTGCTTGGGCCGCACGGGTTTAGCTGAAGAGACACGGAAAATAAGTATGTGTTATGGACCATTCAGGACACCGTACAGCAGGCGTGTCAAACTCAAATTCACAGAGGCCAAAATTAAAAACTGGGACTAAGTCATGGGCCAAATTAATATTTATTGAAAAACTTTTACAGCATCTGCATGTTTTCTCTTCTTTCGAGATATGTAATGTTAAAACTTTTCTTATTAAAATATATATATTAAAAAAAAAAAAAAGTGTGAACCCCTGATTATGTAAAACAATTGGGGCAGGACTCTATATGTTTTTTAAACTTCATCCTACTCCTTTTGAGCACCAGGTCCCAAATATGTTCATGTACATATCACTATTTTAGCTATTGTTTTTGAATTTTGTACCTGGCCCAAACATATAAATAAATGAAATGTAAAAAAATGAAAATAAATGTTTAATAATAACATTAAATTTAAAAATACATTTAAAAATAACATTTTAAATAAATATTGTCTCTGTAGCTGGTGGGCAGCTCTAATACAGATTTGATATGATCTCACGGGCCAAATATAATTATATCACGGGCCAAATTTGGTCCCTGGGCCTGAGTTTGACATGTCTGATGTACAGGGAAAAATGTGAAGCTAATCATTAATCACTAAAAGAAGGCAAGAAAAATACAATGACTTTGGTATTTCTTTCTGATTTCGTAGAATTCTTAGCATAAAGGTTTTCATTCCACACTCTTCTCTCTAATTTATGTGATTAATGTCTCTCTCTCTTTTTAATTTTATGATGATTATTTATGTTTTGATTTGTTTTTCTGAGCTTTCTATAAAATTGTTCCCTCATCAAGTGGTTTAAAGTGGTTTTATATGTGATTCATGCATGTTTGAGTAATTTTGTGATCTTTCCAGGGCTCTATTCAAACCCTAGCAGTACTACTCTCCTCTAAGATTTAAGAAATAATCTCAAAACTAGGTAGATAAAACTGAAACTGAGCTAGTACTGAGTTGCAGTACCGATCTGAGCAGTGTGGGGGCGGCGCATCGCATGCTTGGCCTTCATGGCATCCTTGATGCGGTCCACTTCCTGTTGGTAGCGCCGGCGGTCCATCATGGCGCCCTCTTTGGCGTCTCTCAGTGCAGTCTCCAGGGCCTTAACTCTCTCAGCAGTAGACCGCAGGCGCTTCTCCAGCTTTGGAAGCTCGCAGCGCAGATCTGCATTGTCACGAACCAGCTGCAAAAAAACACAGCAGCACTAGCGCTTTATTAAAAAACACAGATCCCACAACAGGGGTTCATATCGACAGTTATATTACAGACAGATTTTTGTGCAGCTCAAATACAATTTAGAGCAGAATTCTCCAACCTTTCTCCTTCTGTGAGCTACTTTTTGTAAAATGAAAATGCCAGAGAGCTACTAATGTTAGCGGTCGCCAGAAATTTTGTACAGTTACATGTCTATAAAACAGAACCAGTTTATCCAGTTATCAGTGCACAAAATTAGGCATCAAAATTTTACATTTACAAAGGTAACAGGCATTTAATCAATCAAATTTGAGTAATTCAATGCAGTATGTATAATTCAGAAATCCCTGGGTGAGCTGCGTGGAAGGGGGTGGAGAGCTACTCGTATCTCCCGAGCTACAGGTTGGAGACCCCTTGACTGAGAGCCAAATAATATTTTTCCATAATTTGTAAAAAGAAAAACGAACTGACATTTCTGTAAGTTTTGCCTTGTGTCGGCCATCAGTAAATAAGAGACATTAGTAAAAGTTCAGACAGAGGAAGTTGCCGTGGTGTCTGTATGTACTGTGTGTCTGTACCTGTTTGTGAACCTTTGTAAGCTGGTCCAGGTTGTTTTCAAGAAAGGAAATCTTCTGCTTCTGGGTGCAAGACCCCCCGCTATCATCAGGCTCCATTTCGGAACTCTGCAGCCGATTAAACACACAGAAAATATTAAACACACAGATAATATTAAACACACAGATAATATTGTATTATTGACACAAGCAACCAAACTGTCATTAAAACTGAAGAACACAACCTGAACATTTCAAAACAAAACTCATGAACCACACTGTAGTCTTTCTTAGTCAAATATGGAAAAAAACATCATCCCTCTTCCATCATTTAGGATAGTTTTTAAATCGGAAATAATCTAATGAGGGGTAAAGACAATATTGGCCTGACACACACAACACACAAGTTCAGTGTGTGTCTCGTACTTTTTTAACCCGCGACGTGAGGTCTTGAACGAACAGCTTGCGCAGGTTGTGGAGGGTCTGGAGTTCGCGGGCCTGAGAACGACAGAGTCAGAGGGTTTACATATGATCAGAATGCATTTAAGTATGTCTATATGTGTATGTGATAATTTTGCACTTATAGATAAATAATATAAACCAGGACTTACGACGGTCTCCTCCAGGCCCTTGAGGTCCTGTTTGGTCTGCTCATGACGCTCGTGCAGAAATCTGACAGTGAAAACATTGTCATCACTAAATGACAAACGGGACGTGATTAAAGCAGAGACAACTTTGATTTACACAGTTTTCATAAACTTTTTAAAAACGGAAACAAAAGACAATCCTTTTTGGGGGTCTGCATTTTCAGTTTATCAAATATATTGTCTGTATACATACATATTTGGACTATGTGATTGTTGACCACACATTTAATTAGTTTGTTTGCCCTTTTATGACTACATAGAGCTCTAGGATTTTATGGAGTAATGGTGGTGTTCTGATCTATTGTCTGTTGAGTCCTGTTTTATGTTTTAGTTTTAAGTCTTGAGTCTCTGACGTTGTTTTTATCCCAGCCAGAAGCTGGTGTCCCCCTGTAAGTCCACAGTCTGCAGTGATCACAGCTGTAGTTATTATGAGTCCTTAGAATATTAGTGCAGTACAGTGAAGTATGTGGTACTCACGAGAGCTCCTCCAGGCGCTCGCTCTTGGTGCAGTCTTGACTCTTAAGACGGTCAAAGTCTGAGCGCACCTGGGCCAACTCCAGCTGCAGTGCCGAGTTCTGACTGAAGGGGGCAACAACAACAGAGGCATAAGAGAAAGAGGTAACACTGTGTGCTCGTACATATGTCTTTATTGTTATTGTCTATGTATAAAAGTAAGTCAGTGTGAGCTCAGACATGATACACAATAGTACACATACAGTATGTTCTCTACAGCGTCTGTGATACAGTTCAGACAGTGACATACTCAGTGAGCTCGTCGATGAGCCTCTGCTTCTCGTTGATCTCATCACGCAAGCGGGACAGCTGCTTGTGGTGCAGCCCACGGTGTGTCTCCACCTGCTGGCGGGAGCCCTTCTGCGCAACATACAGACAACAAGGTGTCCATGGTTTGATAAATAAATGTAGTTGTGTAGTTTTACAGAAAACTTCTGGACAGTACCTCAGTCTCTCCCTTCTCGCCGTCCTTATCCTCCACCTGGGAGTTCTCTGTAAACACACAGCAGTGATCAGCTCTTTATGGCCTCTGTTTGATGAGCTGTGTGCTCTCTTCATACCTTAAACACTTTATATTGCTATGCAAGTATTTATCTGATCTATAATGCACCGTGGTCCTGCAGGTGGCCATAGACATTAAACACTAGTGTTTGTACACTAGTACCGTATTTTCCGGGCTATTAGGTGCTCTGGATTATAAGATGCACTGTCATTGAATGGTCTATTTTCAAACTTTTTTCACAAATAAACTGCACCGGACTTTAAGCGAAACACAACAGTTGGATAAGTCAGTGGTTTTGTTTGTTTGTGGCGTTCACGGTGACTCTGGGCTTTGTTCAGTTGTGGCATGTAGGGAGGGTGCTGTCTGGGACTGCTGGATTGTTGGCGTGTTCGCAGTGACTCAGTTGTTCAGTTGCGTCTAGAAGTGGCACATTGCACTCGCTTTTTCGGTTTGTTTCTCTGTTCCGTTCCTCATCAGCGTGGAGTTGTGAGTGTATCTGTGGGTGTTTTTCGCTGTGCAGTCGCTGTCTGCTCCGTGTGTGTTTGCGTGTTCTGTGGGTGGTGTGGCTTTGTAGTTTACTGACGTCGTGCTGGGACACCCGAGTGGATTCGTGCTCTGGAATGTGGGGTGTGCAGTCATTTTTTGATGGGGTATAAATATATATATATGTGTGTGTGTGTGTGTGTGTGTGTGTGTGGGTGTGTGTGTATATATATATGTATGTATATATGTAGTATATGTGATGATGTTACCGTGGTCCTGCAGCTTGGCCAGCTCCTCGCTCAGGGAGTCGTGGCTCTCCTCCAGCAGTCTCTTCTTCTGCTCCACACTCTGCATGTACTCAGGGAGCGGATCTTTGCCTCGTGCTGCAGAGAAGAGCACATTTTCTAACCACAACAAACTTTATTTCAATACTAAATAATAGGCTCAATACTCAATATATTCCGATACCAAGAAGATAAATAATAAAGGACACTCCTTATTTAGACAATAGACTGCAATTTTCAACATTAAATCATAGTACTTTCTTTTTTATTCCCATGTGGCTCATATCTGCGTAATCCCTCAGTGGTCCAGGTAGGTTCCTTGGTGGTCCATGGGCATATACTAGTCTATGTGCTCCTATACTTTTTCTGATACAGCTCAAGATCATTCTAAAGTTATCCAGGAAAAGTTAATTTCTGTTCTGTGAATGTGACCTTTTTAGAATCCATACCTGCTCAAATAAGAATCTAGTTTTGCTATTGATTAGTATTCTCATTTTCTATACTTTTGACATCCCTAGTGTATCTTCTCCCATGTCCTCTGTTACCTGTGAGATGAGCAGTTGGCAGGAGGACAGCTCTCGTCCAGTCTCCTCCATCTTGCGGTGACACTCCAGCTGCATGTTCTCCAGCTGCCTGCACCTCTTCACCATGGACTTCACCTCAGACTTGATCTTGGAGATGTAGAGACGAGCCACGGTGAACTCCTCCTCGATGGCCCCGCTGATCTCCACCGGCTGTGTGCGAAACAGGACACAAGGGGGCGCTTTAGACAGACGAGCCGGGACCAAAGTGTCACGCGAGGGAACACAAACGACAAGGTGAAATGACTAAAGCTGTTACTGTGTCCTTAGAACAGACTGTATATCGGAGAGGACACCAGACTTGGACAAACTTTAGTGATCCACAAGGGAAATTATTGAACACAGCAGCTCACACATCACAGTTTATTATAATAACACAGAGGAACAATATAAATGGTAATAATAAAGAGAAACTGCAAGAGACTGGTGTCGTAGAAATATAGTAATACAAGTAAATCTCAGCTATATGCAAGAGGTCGTGACTGTTCGTGCTGTGTGGACGCACACTGCAATGCCAGTGAATCTTCAGACTCAGTTTTATATTATAATTTATTTAAAGTTAATAAATTGTAATGGAAAATAAATAAAATTAAATAGCTTAAGTAAATCGTAAGTGGAAGCGCATCTGTCAATTCACTGAATGTTCAATATATTATGAATCTTTATTTATTTATTTTTTCATTGGGTGGCCTATTCATGAGCATGCATCAGCAATTACACATGTTTAGGGGAAAAGGGCATTATTAACTGGAAGAGTGGCTACAACAGATACTGGGAAAAACAGCGAACATCTCAGTCCAGAAAAGTGCAGTACTGGGAACAGCAAAGACACTGATATATATAATATATATACAGTCCCTGACAAAAGTCTTGTCGCTTTTGTTGAAACAAAAGCTTATAACCTGACTTTAAATTAATCGATTGGTTTTAGAAATGTCTCATATGAAAGCTAAAACCCTCCCAAATTATGCTCAATAAACTAAAATAAATTTGCTTCACTGAAGAAAGATTGATCATTTAATGAACACAGAAAGGTCAGATTATATATATATATATATATATATATATATATATATATATATATATATATATATATATATATATATATATATATATATATATATATATATATATATATATATACATACACACACACACACACACACACACACATTTTATTTAATTATTTATATATAGTAATAACTAGTGTTGTAGTACTCAAGACCGCTTTTTTACAGTCTTGGACTCGAGCGCATTTGGACTCGGTCTTGTCTCGGTCTTGTCTCGGTCTTGATGGTCTCGGTCTTGTCTCGGTCTTGTCTCGGTCTTGTCTCGGTCTTGTCTCGGTCTTGTCTCGGTCTTGTCTCGGTCTTGATGGCACTTGGTCTCGGTCTTGTCTTGTCTCGGTCTTGATGGCACTTGGTCTCGGTCTTGTCTCGGTCTTGTCTCGGTCTTGATGGCACTTGGTCTCGGTCTTGTCTCGGTCTTGTCTCAGTCTTGTCTCGGTCTTGTCTCGGTCTTGTCTCGGTCTTGTCTCTGGTCTTGGGCACTTGTCTCGGTCTTGTCTCGGTCTTGTCTTGGTCTTGATGGCACTTGGTCTCGGTCTTGTCTCGGTCTTGTCTTGGTCTTGATGGCACTTGGTCTCGGTCTTGTCTCGGACTTGAGATCTGACGCTCAACGAGTTTGGTTATTTTTCATTAAGGCCGGTAAATGTGCAGAGGCTAAATATCACTGCAAAACCTTCAGCTTGAAAAAACTCACTTTCTTCACTTTGAAGTTGTTTTCTGTAAAGTGCCAGTGGAAGTTGGAGTAAAGAAGGATTTCTCAAACTCTGGGTCAGGGTCCAAAAAAGGGACGTTTAAGTGCAGCAGTTTGCTTGGCTTATTGTGAGCATAAATGATCATTAACCAGATCAAATGGTGATTTAAAAGTCTTAATTTCATCTTGGTCTTGACCCTCAGAGGTCTTGGTCTTGTCCTGGTCTCGGGACCCTGTGGTCTCAGACAGGTCTTGTTCAAGATTAGTGCTGTCTTGACTACAGCAGTGTAATAACAGTGTAATAACAGTGTAATAACAGTGTTCTGACCAGTTTGAGCTCCCCGTTGCCCACGATGGAGCTGAACTCGCTCAGGTCCCTCATGAGTCCGTTGAGCACGTCTGCGATCCTCTTCCTCTGCTGCCCACTCACCTCCTGCATCCGGGAAAGCTCCGCCTCCAGCTCCATCAGACTCGCCTGCAACAACACAACAAGTACACCGTTTAGTACTGGTGGTTTACAGATTCTAGAACGTGGTGATGAAATGATGAAGTAACACAGCGCGTACCATTTTCTGAGCGAGCTGTTCAGCCAGCAGCTGGTTCTGGAGCCCCTTCTCCTCCACCTCTTGGCTCTTCTGGTCGTAGTTGATGGCCAGTTCCTCCAGAGCCTGGAGCACCTCCTTCACCTCGGCTTTAGCACAGTCACTCTCCACCTGCAGACGCCCCAGCTCCGCCTGCACTTTGTCCCCGTCACCACGAGACGAGGCCAGAAGCTGAGGGACAGGGAGGACGGGGTTAGGGTTAAAACAGGGGTCGGCCACTCGCAGCTCCAGAGCCGCATGTGGCTCTTTAGCACTCCCCTAGTGGCTCCCTGGAGCTTTTTCAAAAATGAGTGAAAAATGGAAAAGGAATGATTTTTTTGGTTGTTGTTTTAACCCTCTCCAGGCAGGCATTGCAGATTTGCAACAGCTAAATTCCAAGTACCTACTTACTCCACATCCATATTATATGAGCTTTTTTACTCAGGAGCCTTTTCTCCCATCCATGCTGATAAACGTGGGCGATGCAGACTGTGCAAGAATGGCTACACGCAAACGGCCTGCCAGAAGTGCAAAATACTTTTTTTTGTTTACAAAGGATAAAAAAGTCAGAATTGTATATTACTACCCCATATTATAATTTTCCCAAATATCAGATTTTTCCTGATACTAAAAATTAATTTGAGCCTGAGAGGGTTAATATGGTTTCTTTAGGGGTAAAACCCTCATTCCTCTCTGGTCATGGATCTGATCCATCAGCTGTGTGTGTAAATGCAACCAAAGATGGCAAGAGTGACCATAAATTGTACAATAAGATACCTGCTACTCACTATTACTTTATTTTTAGAAAACTACTGATTCCCTGATAACAATAATTTTTTCATGATAATTTCTGGATCAGTAATAGAATATTAAGTCTGATTTGATGTTTTAGACTTAAGCTAAGCAGATAGACAAAACATAACATAAGGAGGAAAAAAAAGTGATTGTATTTCTGTTCGAGGGGTTAATATATGGAACAATCTGAGTGATTTAAAAAAAAGTCTAACACTACAGAAGCCTTTAAAAAAAAGTATAAAGCGTTATGTTTTGAAAGATATAGAGCTCTGGAAAAAATGAATTATGCATGCAATTTTGTTTGTTTTAATTTATATTTTGTCTCTTGTGTATACAGAAAGCCATAAGTGAAATTGTAAATGCAAACTTGTTGTTCATACGCTGCTTTTCTTTCTTGGAATTTTGTCATTGTTTAATAGGGTTTGGCTTTATACGTACTTTTTACTTCAGCCTAAACTGTTTCGGTCATGATCCATGGGGTTGTAGTCTATGTTTTGTTTTGTTTTTTGTTTTGTGGTGCTGCAAAATGACCGAATAAACAACTACTACTAATAATGTGACATTTTTTTTATATTCGAAAATACACACGTTTACATGTTTGACTAAAGTTTTGTTTAAGAGAAACTAAAACTTTCAAAACATAATCAGCTTTTGTCGCTCAGTGTGGAATCACCAGGAGCCAAAAGTTGTACTCAAATAAAACTACTTATTATGTACAAAATTGCATTATTGAAGAAGTAAATAGTACAATGGGAAAACCAGCATCACCTCATTAAAAAGTAACTCATCACTGCCCCCTTCTGGTATTAACTGCTATATGCAATACAAAATACTTCTAAATGTATTCAGTATCACTTCTCTTATTAAAAAATAAAATGCCTTTGTTAATAATTGATAGAAGTGGCTCTACCTCATCCTGGTCCAGCATCTGCTGCTTCAGTTTCTCCACCAGCTGACACTGCAGGTTAATCTCATCATCCTAAACAAAAGCAGAACAAGGAGAGAAGGTCAGAGGAGCAGAGGAGCAGAGGAGCAGAGGAGCAGAAGAGAGGGTCAGAGGAACAGAGGAGAAGGTCAGAAGAACAGAGGAGTAGAGGAGAGGGTCAGAGGAACGGAGGAACAGAAGTTGGGGTCAGAAGAACAGAGGAGCAGAGGAGAGGGTCAGAGGAACAGAGAAGAGGGTCAAATGAGGCAAGGGAGAGGGTCAGAGGAGCAGAGGGTCAGAGGAGAGGGTCAGAGGAGCAGAGAAGGTCAGAGGAGCATGAGAGGGACAGAGGAGCAAAGGAGCAGAGAAGAAGGAGGGTCAGAAGATCAGAGGAGATGGTAAGAAGAACAAAGGAGCAGAGGAGAACGTCAGAAGAACAGAGGAGCAGAAGAGAGGTCAGAAGAACAGAGCAGCAGAGGAGAACGTCAGAAGAACAGAGGAGTAGAAGAGAGGGTCAGAAGAACAGAGCAGCAGAGGAGAACGTCAGAAGAACAGAGGAGAAGGTCAGAAGAACAGAGAAGATGGCCAGAAGAGCAGAGGAAAGGGTCAGAGGAACAGAGGAGAAGGTTAGAAGAACAGAGGAGCAGAAGAGAGGGTCAGAAGAACAGAAGAGAGGGTCAGAAGAACAGAGGAACAGAGGAGAAGGTCATAAGATCAGAGGTGCAGAGGAGAGGGTCAGAGGAGCAGAGGAGCGCCTTAGATGTTTAGCAGCCATCCTTACCTTGTCATCCAGTTGCTTGTAGAGTTTGCGTATCTCCTCTTCGTACTTCTGCCGCTCCTCCTCGGAGATACGCACCACGATGGAGGTGGAGTCGTTGTCCAGGAGGGGGCGCTCCTCGATGGTCTCAAAGCGGTTGACCACATCGGCAGTGGTCCTCTCGGTCTCAGGCACGTCTTCTCCTGGAGCAGAACACACATCAGACATAAGCTCCGTGTTTATGGTTTTCTTTTTAAAAATAACAATGTCATGAAAGAATAGTTAAGTTGTTGAAGGTTTAGAGGAGAGATGCCCAAACTTTTTTCCTCAGCGGGACAAAATAAATACGTAGGGAATATTTAATCACATGGAAAAAAGGCGTCATATTATATTTACTTAGGGTCAACGTTTACATTTTTGTGTGTGTGGCAGCTGAAAAATGTGGGTACAACAAAACAAAATAAGAATAAATAAACTGAACACCAAAAGAACCCAATGGAGCTCACAAACAGCCGAGACAGGGAGCTGCTGGGAAAAGACCGCAGTTAATTGAGGTTGTCATCCCGAATAAGATGCAAACCGACAGTGTCTGTGTGTTTTTATTGCTTTCTTCTCGCTCACAATAAAGGCTTTTGAAATATTTTGTAACTAAGTGAGTGCCTGATATTTTTCTTTTTCTTAAACCAACAATTGAACTACTATGAAGAACAACCCAGTCGAGGTGTTGATGTGATTTCTCGATCTTTACTCTGTGAACTCTGGCTCCTAAAAACCTCAATAAAAACTTTGATCTGAGACCCTTTCTGTGACTCTCCTAAACGTTGACATCATCACTCCAGTCTGTGGACGTAGAGCTCCTCCAATAATACTTCCATATCTGTTAGGGATGTAACAATAACCAAAATATTGTGATATCGTATCGCCAAAGTTCTCAAAATGTTATCGTGGGCCTTTCCTAATATATTAATATATATATAATTACAAGTCTCTTTGCTTAAATGAAGAGTTATGGTGCAAAAAAAGACAGAGGGAACTACATAGACCATGATCCTTTGCTCCATTTCAGTGCAAACTTACAAGAAGAAATAACAGTTCTAACACTTTTAAGTCTTAGTTCTTTGGATTAAGTCTTGTCAAGGCATTTTAAAAGGAAAAAGTGGTAAATGTTTTAATAAATATCGTACTGTGAGATGTATACCGTGAAAATATCGTATAGAGAGATTTGAATATTGTTACATCCCTAATCGTGAGCTTTCCCATGATATCACAATAAATATTATACTGTGAGGTATATTCGGCTTTAAAATATTAGTGACCATCTGTTTATACTATAGTTCATAGGATGCCACTGAACATTTGTTATCTCTTAATTTATTTCAAATTAATGACATGGTCAGTCAGGGCTGTGCAAAAATATCAAAATATTGTATCGTTTAATGTGATGATACAGAATCGATACCATGGGCTGCTGTATTGATACATCACCAAGAGTATTTTTTGGTATATTTTACTAAATTATTTTGTTACAGCTACAGTTTTGTTGCTTTTTCAGAGGAAGGAAACTCGTTTATGCAACACATTTGGCATTTTCATGATGATTTTGATGGTTAAAATGTTTGTGTTTTTATATGAATTTTGCACAAGAAGTGGTTTAACAAAAACTTTTAGTATCACAGCCTTAATTTAGCCTTTATTTTTATTGAACCGTATTGAATCAATTTGAAATATATCGTATCGAATCAAAAGTGCACTGTATTGAGATATGTATCGTATCGTGGCCTATGTATGGAGGTGTGTATCGTATCGGCAACTTCTTAAACATACCCAGCCCTAATGGTTGGTCAGGGACAGATGTACAGCTGAATCCTTCATGTCAGATGAAGGGCTTAACCTAGGGTGACCAAACGTCCGTTTTTAACTCGGACATGTCAGTTTTTTGTGTCCTGTCCTGGGCATCCGTTTTTTTTTTTTTTTTTTTTTTAAGTGATGGAAATGTCTGGGTTTTCATTTCCTTTCATTGGGGCCATTAAATTAAGCGGCTCTCATAGCTCTCTGTAACTCAGAAGGAGCGAGCTGACACAAACAGTTGGTCAGCCTGCAACATGTCGAAGCACAAATGTGTAATTAACAATGACTTCAACAAGAAATTCTCCGTTTTCCGTCCCGGTCGAGACAAGTGGGAGGCCATGTGCACAGGTTGCGATGTGAGAGTGGCTCAATGTTGAGGCCCCACCTCCAACTCGTGGGAAGGTGTCCAGGTTTTCACAAATGGAAATATGGTCACCCTATCTTAACCCCAAAACATCACAATGTGGTGTCATTAAAATAATAAAAACTGGAATCCCCAAAGAACTCCAGTGTGGATCTGTTTTTTCATTTCCCCAGTAAGACTATCCCCTAAACTCCCATCTCCTTTGTTAGACTGTGTACGTGTGTGTGTGAGATGTTTCTCCTGACCGTTCCTCCAGCGGTTGAGCTCAGCCTCCAGCCTCTGGATGGTCTCCTTCAGACCCTTGTTCTTCTCCTTCTCCTTCTCGTACTTCCTCTTCCACTGCTCGGCCGTCAGCTCCAGGTTGATGGAGGCGGTGTTCCTGATGGTCTTCGCACTGACACAAGAGCAAATCAATTACATATCCATGGGTTTCACAATCATGAGTAATTAAGACCATGGAGACCATGACTAACGTAGACTTTAGAGCAGAATTCCACATTAAGAATAGGAATTTATTTACGGGCAAAATAAAAACAGGATCATATACAGTGAGGTAATACAAGCTCTTTAAAGGGACAGCCTGGAATTTTGGACATAGGACCTCATTTCCTAGTGAGCCAGAGTGTTGGAGACGTGTGGAGACACTTTTTAACTATTCCATCTAGTCCTTGTATTTGCAGAGGTCGCTGGTGCTAGACTAGTGCACGTTTAAAGTTCACACTGGAGATCACATACAAGTCACATTTAATTGGAAATGTGAACGACCTCGCAAAAAAAATCACATTTCCCAAAAAATCTGAACTGAGCATTAAGCCCTGCAGTCTGAAAACAGTGTAAGTTTTTTTCTATATATATCTTTACTGGGGCAAAATAAAGTTGTACCTCCCCTTTACAAGTGAAAACTGGGTGTTGTTACCGTTGTCCAAACATGAGCGTGGACTTGGTCTCCGTGTCGTTGTAGCTGGAGGGAGAGCAGCAGATGAACATGGTGGTTCTACAGTTCCCGCCCAGAGAGTCCTGCAGGATCCGAGTCATCTTACTGTCACGGTACGGCACATGGGTTTTCTACACGGACACGAAAAATATAAGCATCAGTGATCAGGTACACATAATAAGAAATACATGCATAAACAAGGACTGATTTTGGTTAAAATGAAAACTTAAAGAACAGAAATGAGAAAATTAAGGTTTGTGGTTCCTTCATATCTCCTGTGTGGTGGTGTTTTGATTTCCAAGTGACTTGACCAAGACTATATCAGGACTAAACCAGGTATCTTGGACTACTTGTACATCAAAATGAGGACTAAAATGGGACTAAAGCTGGAACTAGAGTAGCTAGAGTAGAGCTAGAACAGGACCAAGCTCAGGGTGAGTTCACATTAGTCCTTATTTGATCCTAAACTGAATCTTTTTTTCCAGATGTGGATTTGGATTGTCCCTGTTCAGTCAAACCAGTAACATCTCCAGAGACAAAAACTTTTAATGGACTCCACCAGATAAGTTACTCAATGCACCTTTGAGGGCAGGGGTGGTAAAGTTTGTCTCACCGTTCCTTCAGCCAGAGCAGAGATGACGTTTCCCAGAGCAGACAGAGACTTGTTGATGTTCTTGGCTTCGTCCAGGACCAGACCCAGCAGCTCCAGTTTTGCTCACCTGCACAGCACAGACACAGTCACACAGAGGGGAGGGGACAGTTATAGTTTACATCAGTAACCTATCCCTGGGTTTCAGAGTGAGGAGAAATTAGCACTGTTGTCATAGCAATTAACTAGGGGTGTAATGGTGCATGTATTTGTGCTGAACTGTTTTGGTACAGGACGTTTGGTTCGGTGCAGAGCTGTGCACGAGTGAATTCGCGTGCAAGTGTGTGTGTTTACATTCGGCCACTACATGTGCTTGAGGCTCGGCTCTTTAATATTTGTGAGGGAACTCGTCTGTGATTGGGGCAGTGGTTCCCATAGTGCTTTATAGTTAGGGCGGCCACCTTGACAACAATTGCCCCATGCCTTGACTCCGTCCCTCCAAACCACGTGAATCCTTGCAAAACTACAATCATCGCGCCACGGTCTTCACTCTCTCCTTTCGCCAGCACAGAATCTCCACCACCCACAACCACAACCTCTGTACTCTGTACCACTGCAGACAATGTGGACAAGTTGGTTTTTCTGGCCAAAAATCTAAAGATTGAGTAAAACTTCATGCTGGAACTGTTAGTGCTGCTCTTCACTTTCTGTAAAGTTTTGTCTACGGTTTACAAAGAATTTATTAATTTTTTAAATAATATTTCAAACATTTGTTGCTTATTTGAAAATATTTTATTTAACTTATTAGTTTTACCAAGCAGCACTTTGCATTTATTTTATTTTCCCGTTTGTATAATGTTAAAACAAATTGTTGGTTTAATAAAAACACAAATAAACAACACACAAATGGTTTTGCATTTTGTTCCCAACTGTACCGAAAATGAACCGAACCGTGACCTTAAAACCTCGGTACATACCAAACCATGATTTTTGTACTGTTACACCACGACAATTAACTAATTCTGTATTTAGCATTGTCAAAATGTCTTTAAAGGCAATATTCAGACCTGCAGTTAAAATGTTGTTTCCTCATCACAAATAGGCTTGGAGTTGTGTTATGTTTCATTCACACATGTGTATTATAGTTCTTCTTAAACTGAAAACACTCTGTTCCACCTTGTGACATCATGTTGTAATCTCCACATACCTTCAATAAAATCAATCTTTGAACTGAACTAAAGGTAAAAGGTAAGGATTAACTTGAAAACTACCACTACCATACGTCACAAGCCGGAAAAGAGTATTTTGAGTTTTGGAGATAAAGGCAGACTAATAATACTAACTATTTTATGATAAATGATAAAGGATTACTCAAACACATATGAATGAAACAAAACACAACTCCAGGTTTGTTTTTGAGGATGTCACATCATTCTAATATGGCTAAAAGCTCATAATTTAGAACCTTTAACGAGGAATATTGAACCCATGAACTGAAAGGTTTCTGAACACACGCTGATCCCATTTAGATAGCTCTAGCATGGCCGTACCTTCTCACTTCCAGCCAGATCCACCAGGTAGAGTTTCCCGCACAGCTTCTGCTCGGTCTCCACGTGCTCCTGCTTGATGTTGATCAGGAAGATGCTGTGACTCCTGGAGCTGTGTTCGTTCATGTCTGTGGAGGAACAGGAGGAAACATGGTCAAATATGAGACAAAGATGATGGATGAGGATGTGTAGGATTGGATTTGTGACGAAAGAGCTCATTGGTCACCATCATTTACAAATAAAATCACATCTCTCTAACTCAGAGGAAAAGATTAGTAAAGTCTGTTTCTGCTTCACTCATTGATTATGCAGATTTTTTTTTGATTTAAGCATTTTTTTGTTTTGTTTTGATTGGCCATTACACCTGTCAATCACACCCATCCGTACTATAAATAATAAAATTAATTAATAATAAATACACTTTTTATTCTTTTGACGATTTTTTGTTATTGTTTTGTATTTTTACAAGGTCAGATAATAATTCTAACTTAGCACAGTGCTTCCAGAAATGTGGACACCTTATGGAATTGCTTAGTTTGATAAAAAGTTATAATACATTCCGAAAACAAAATTCTGTAACAATATAATTTGATTAATGCATCTTCCCTGGACTGGAGGGACCTAAAAACTGGACATTGTCTCCAAAAATCCTGGCTCTGTTTGTATCTGAGCAGAAACGAGGCAGGTCCAGATGCCGAGCCCGGAGCCGTGAGTCAGCAGAGTCTCGGGAGCTGCAGTCTGACTCTGCACTTTTACACTTGTGTAGTTACAGAAGAGTGGGAGTCGTCACAGCACAGAGGGGCCCAGAGTAATAATGTTAATACAATGATAGTCAACCTAAAATAAGCTTGAAAATGGCCACTCAAACTTGACATTTTTAATCATTTAGATAAAACTAAACACTGAATCAACTTTTTTTGCTACTAAACTGCCTTTTGACATAAGAAAGAAAGAAAAAAAGGGAGAGAAAGTAGTATTACACTTTATGCTTTTAAAAACTGTCAAAAACTGAGTACTACATGACATCACTCATGACTGCTCTGATTAAAGTGTCCAGGAGCGGAGTTTGAAGAGTGAAAACCTTGAGAAACCACACATGTTTGCTTGAGTTCACTTAAAATTTGGTGGATGTTGAAAGACTAAAATGCTTAAAAATGAAGCAGCGAACTTAAGGCCGTCACAGACTACAGGAGAATTTGCCCGAGTTTGGCTGAGATCTGCTTCAACCTGAGATCTGAAGGCTGTATCAAGTGGTGGTTTGAATAGTTTTGTTTAATTGCAAGTTCGAGGTAGCTGCAGATATGATGTTTATGAACATGTTTTGATAATAATAACTAGTGGAGTTATAACATTGTTAACAATATCCAAATCTCTCTGTATGATATTTTCACGATATACATCTCATGGTACGATATTTATTGCAATATTTTGTGGAGGCAAAACAAACAAAACTGTTAATATGCTACTTTTTCGACTTAAAATGCCTTGACAAGAGTTAATCCAAAGAACTAAGACTTAAAAGTGTTAGAACTGTTATTTCTTCTTGTAGTCTGCACTAGAATGGAGCAAAGGATCATGGTCTATGTAGTTCCCTCCGTCTTTTTTTATCTATTGCTGCACCATAACTCTTAAATTAAGCAAAGAGACTTGTAATTTGATATATTGTGATGGTCCACAATATTATTGTGAGAACTTTGACGATACGATATCACGATATTTTGGTTATTGTTACACCCCTATTAATAACACAGTTTTGTGTTGTATCTAAACTAGAAGTGCAGAGTCTGATCTTTTGAACACTTAAGAGTCTCAAAGTGAGTGGTTTTACTGTAGACAGGAAAGAGCTGAGGCGATGTCGCTCACAACTTTATATCCTGTGTTTCACAGACAAATCCCGCTGCAGTCTTTGTGATCAGAGATTTAAAATCTCATAAGATTCTCCTCGTGTCTGTGGTGTACGCTTTTTGTCGCACATTTAAGAATCGTTTAAAACCAAAAAAAATCGTCTTAAAATCGCTTTGTTTTTGATATTTTTAACATGAAATACTAAATCATTTCACGTAATTGAAATTTTTGATGAAAACCAAACAAATGAACACACAGCTCCAGTTTTGTGTATGTCAAATTTGCCTAAAAACTTCACAAATCAAATTAAACTTTTGCAAAACCTGACCTCGTAACTACTCACACCACAACTTCAGTACATAAAATGGCCATGTTGACATGTTTTCGAGAGATACCAAAATCGTGAACGAGGCACATACATGGGGCTGAGGTTAGTTTACTGCTCGGTTGTGATAAGGCACCAACAGTAGCAGAGACGTTGGATTTTTTTTTTTTTTTTTTGCACCATCAGCTTCTATTTTCATCTCATCCTGCAGCGTTTATGGAAATGTGATGAACAGAAACGTGAAATATTATATAACATCATACAACAGTCACGCTTCACTGACCGATCACAGCCCGCTCCAGTGGAATCAGAGTCTAGCATAGGCATAAAAAAAGACAAATGCAGGCTGAAAATGCATACATGGTGATTTTCTTGGTAAATTATTTGATGCATTCTTATTCTGCCTGGACAGAAGAAGAGCTACAGGATATGAACAGATGTGACTCAGTTCTCCTCAATGTTTCTTCGAGGTTCTACACATACAATTTTCCAAGCGATACAGTATTTTGATGAAACTTTCTTATATATAAAGTGTCTCTTTCCAAATCTCCTCCTGAATGTTTTTTGTGATTTGAGGGTCCATTATTTTGTTGTCCACAGAGCTGGATATTTGGTTCCCACTTATCTCTACTTAAAGTGGTTCATCCCAAATTGATTCAGGATAATCAAAACTGACAATGGGCTGGATGTAAACTTGAGGGTTTAGAATACTTTTGTCCATGGACTGGGATATTCGGATACCACTTTTTTGTTCATTCCAAATCTCAAACTGGGTGTTCTCTTCCAAGAACATCTACAATATTGTTGCCCCCAGAAAGGTATACTTGGGCCCCTGTTATCTCTTCAATATAGTGTGGTTTACCCCAAATCGGATGAGGATCATTGACGTTAAAAAACAGAAAATAGAGATATAGAGAAAATAGAGAAAATAGAGATATCAGACAGTTGGATGTGAACTTGAGGATCTGGAATACTTTTGTCCATGGACTGGGATATTTAGGTACCACTTTTTTTCTTCAATCCAAAATATTTCATCCCAAATCTTTGTCTGGATGTTCTCCTTTATTTCAGGGTTCAGAATATCGTTGCCTCCAGAATGGCGTACTTGGGTTTCAGTTAACTCTTCTACATAAAGCGGTTCACCCCAAATTAGATCAGGATCTTCAAACTCAGGTATTTGGGTGTCACATGTTTTGCCAATAAAAAATGGCTCATCCCAAATCGGACCCAGATCAAGACTAAAGTCCATGTAGGAGGTTCCTCCAGCTGCAGGTGGTGGTGGCATAAAACCGGCTGTTTGTGCCAAAGATGTTCATTTTGTCTTCTTATGTACTTTACCTTCTTGGGTTCTTTTTAAAGACAAAACAATAAAGTGTATTTGGTGGTGATGAACTGTCACCACCAACACAGTTCTGAAGATGCAGCAGCAGTCGAAACATGTCAACAAGGTAAATAAACTTGACTGTACTGTTTTTAAAAAGAACCCAAAAAGTTAGAGGCTGTTTATGTGTGGGAGCTACAGCAGCTAAGCACTAACCAATGAAAAAGAACCAAAATTTGCTCCAAAACCGACAGATTTGCAACACTCACGCTCACACAGGCACCTCTCAGATCACAAGTCTGCACTAATAAGTGAGTAAGTAATGAGTTAATATCTTAGATCAGCCACAAAAGCATTTACAGCCAGCGCCTCAGTGCAGTCTTAGAGCAGATGCTGAGAGTGCAGTGATGTAAACAAGAGCATGTGACTCGGTGCATTCAGGGGCAGTACGGCCTCACAGACAGAGAAAAGTTACTCCACAGATAAATATTGATGCTCCATGGTGACAAAGGGGTGGTACAGGGCCTCCCTCAGACTGATCCTCCTCTCAGGGTCTGGGTCCAGAAGTCTCTTTACTGAGATCTGCAAAGGCCGTTCTGTCCCTGTGCTCTGGGGCACTTTCACTTGTACAAAGCTCCTGGAAGTCTAAAGTCTGAGGGGTGAACGCACTAAGCAACTGACACCAAAAGAACCCTCCCCAAGTACTGAAACACAACAGACTCCAGGTAAAAATCACACGAGAAAAATATAGTTAAAAGGACTTTATTTAGATGGCCAAAGCTAACATGTTTTGACCAAAGTGGTCTTCATCGGGGCTCAGTAATATTTACTTCTTTGGAGTACTGGAGTCCATTGTGTTTCAGTTTTGATCCTTTTTCCAAGAGCACCCTCTACCTGCTCCCACTGATTGGAAGACCTGCAGCAAACAGCCACATTTTTGTTTTTTGTTTAAAATGATGCATTCGCCGTACGTGAAGGAGGTTTCCTTTGCAGGTTTGGGGGGATATGCTGAATTAATTTAGATTTTTATGTAAAGACGAGCAATAGATGAACACTGGGCTCTACTCACGCTTATGTCACAAACCAGGAAGACGTTTGGAAACATGCGATGACGACTTCCGGTGTAGTTCCTGACACTGGGTTCGCCGACCGACTGTGATCAAACCCACTGAAGTAAATGTGATCAGCGATAAAATGAAGACTGAATATGCATGTGCTGTTTGGAATCATCTTGAATTTGGCACCTCGTCTCTTCTAATCACATGTACATCAGTGCTCTTGGAGTTGTGCGTCAGTGGGGAAATGATGAAAACTGAGGGATGGTTGTAACTGTTGATTCGCCCGAACATAACAGAATGCTACAATGACATGGAGATGAAGAAAACTGGGAGATTTCCTCATTTTTACTAGATTTTGTCAGACTTACTACCGCGAACAGATGCCGCCGGAAGTCATCACCGCATGTTTCCAAAGATGTTCCAAAAGATCACCAGACAAGTGGAAAATTTAAGTTGTCATATTGCATTTTGTGTGCGTGTTTTCATCATGAAACGCTGAAGCATGAGGCCAGTAATAAATCACTCACTGGTCACAGCGACGTGGCGGTTGGCTTTCCCCTCATCGATCACGTCCATGACCTCATCTGGACTGGACACGAAGCGCTCGGTGCAGCCCTGCGACAACACACAACAGCTCTTTAAATACACGAGTTTACTGTTAATGTGAAAATAATACACACTTGAAATATTCACAGTCGTCAGTATTTCAACCTGATATTTTAGGTATTGAGAAGAGAGGGACACACAGCAAAAAAAGTACTTTCATTCAGTAGTATTTCTCTTTGCTTGACAAGAATTAGTACTGAAATAATTTTTGGCAACAGAACAAGTATTATACCACAACATTTAAGAAAACTAGTATTTTTTCCACTTTAAATGAGCAAAAAAAGTTGTACTATAATCAAATTGTGAATTATTATAAACACTTTTTATGTTAGACTACTCATTGTAAACGAATGAGAACTTCGCACATCAATTACTTGAGATGGGTGTGTTGGAGATGTTTGCCTGATGAAGGCCTTGTGCTGAAATGTTTGTCCTAATAAATCTCACAATTTGCAAGTAAGACGGTGTGTGGGATTGTTCTCCGTGTTCTTAGAGACTACTCATCTTAAACATAGCTATATTTAGGGTTAGGTAAGTATTTTTTAGATAGTTTTTTATAATTGTATTTTGTGGTTGGACATGGGCAGCAGACACAGGTGGGTCCGGTCAAGCAGAAGTAAACAACAAGGCCAAAAATTCAAGTTAATGCATCTGATATAAAAATGTATTCAACAGATAGCATATGTACTCTAGTTTATGAAACTGTTTACCTTTTTTTCTGTACCATTTTTGGTTCTAAAGTTACATATGTTTTAAACAGACCATGTATGAAACATGGAACAAAAAATATTTCCCAAATTTCAAAGACCTGCAAATCATGTAAATAAATGGATGTATTTCATCATATCTTGTGTTATTCCATCTTTGAACTGTTGATGAAGGTACATGATTTAAAAAAAAAAAAAAAGTATTTAAAATGATAAAAATTTGCTTGGAAGGACTGACATATTTTATAGAAATAGTTTCCTTTCATTTTGAAGTAATATTAAAGTATTCGGAAGAAAAAAACTGACAAATTATGCAAAATCATGCACCTTCTACTTGTTTGCACAATTTTCCCTCCGTTACTTTTCCCTCTGTTACCATGACCTTTCTTAATAAAAAATCTCATTACTCAAAAAGTAAGAGGTTTTTCAACCTAATCTTGTACCATATGGTAGAAAACTATATGAAGCAAATATTCAAACCAGTTTGTTAAGGATATGTAAGTAAGAACCGGTAGTTATCACTGTTTGTATTTATTGCCCAAAAAGTGCTGCATATTTCATTCCCTCCGTTACCGACATGAGTTTTTAAATTTTTTGTCAACAACTTGAAAGAATATCACAGGTTTAACTTTACCCTGTTGGAGTGTTAACTCTTTCCTACATTCTGATACTTTACTTCAGGGGTGTCAAACTCATTTTGGTACGAGGGCTTTACCAACCTACTTTGATCCCAAAGGGGCCGGATCAGAAAACTCATGACATATATGGCCCCAAAAATAGCAATAAGTTCAAATATTTGTGCAGAGAAATTCAAATCTATTACAGAAATCTTTTTTTAATTTATTAACTCTTTCTTTTACAAAATATTATAATATTATGAACAACCTGAAACTTTAAGAAAAATGCAATTTCAACACAATGTTTTAACATTAACTTGTATGCAAATAGGAATAAGTCAGTGTTTCGTGGAAAATCCTGCACTCGGCTCCACTTTTCTCATTTTTGACATTTTTCTGATGAGGGTGTCACGGTCAACAGTCAAAACGATCGTCCTTTAAGAGCATTTGGAAAGAGAGAAGTCTTCATTTGTGCTGCTCTGGTGGGAGGGGCCACGTACAGAGGCTCTGGAGACGCTGCTGTGCTAAGCGGCGCAGAAAATTACCAATATTTTAATAGAAAATATAATTACAACATTTTTGTAGAAAATAAGCCGAGGGCCAGATTAAAGGTCTTGGAGGGCCGGATTTGGCCCCCGGGCCTTATGTTTGACACCTGTGCTTTACTTATTTCAATAGTCCCTCTAGTTTCTGAATAAGAGACATTTGAATGTAAAGAATCTGCCCCTGTTTCCCTCCGTTACCACTTGACCAGACCCAGGTACTATCCCACTAAACCAATTAATAATTAGAAAAACATGAAAGCTGGTTATTTGCACTTTTACATTTTTTAGTTTTGAGACAATAATGTTACGATCATAGTTTATTTTCACTGTATTGTAATGTTTAAAGCAATATTAAGAACACATGAACTGTCATGGAATGTTTTCTTCTTCCTAGGGGGCGTGACAGAAAATAATTGAGAAGCACTGCTCTAATTCAAAGAAATATGTTGTAACAATGGGAAGGTTAGGGTTAGGCTTTATTGGATCTATTCAACTGTAAACGATTTACGCTGCTGGTAGATCATTTTCAACGGGGCAGCCCATTTTGACAGAACACCGGGCCCCCGCATTTCTGACGACGGGCCTGGCTGAGATACTATCACTTTTTTTGGATTGTTTTTAGATTACAGAATGTACTATTTTATGTGAAACCTGGAAAAAACAAGGAGACTTTACTATTTTCTTTGACAAACCTTGACGAAGGGGACGCGGTTCTTGTCCTCATGCACAGACAGGTTGGTCTTGGTCACTGAAACGAGCAGAAGATTTGGTCAGAACAAATCAGCCTCGAACTAACATAATTACACTTTAACTAAATGAGATCGATCGTCTCTCACCGTCCAGAAGGTCACGGATCTTGTCCATGTAGATCTCAAAGTACGACACCTGAAGGAATCGGGGAAAGTTTCACATTAGGGCATTAATGCAGGTTGTGTTCATGAATCTAATGTGAACTTTATCATGTTATTGCAAGGGAATAGGTCTCAAAATGGACTATATTAATCTTGAGCACTGTTGGGCAAGTTACTTTAAAACTTTAATGTGTTATTTATGACTTGTTATTGTGATTTCAAAGTAATTTGTTACATTACAATATTACTGCATTTAAAATGTAAAATATTACACGACTATTACAGCACTTTAAGTTACTCTCACCAAAATAACTGCTGAAATTTTACGCCATATATGGACTGAACCTGGACTAAACCAGAACTGAACCAGGACTGAACCACGACAAAGCCAGGACTAAACCAGGACAAAGCCAGGACAAAACCAGGACAAAACAGGGTCTAAACTAGGACTAAACCAGGACTAAATTAGGACTAAACCAGGACTAAACCAAAGCTGAACCAGGACTGAACTAGGTCTAAACCAGGATTGAACCAGGACAAAACCAGGACTGAACCAGGACAAAACCAGGACTGAACCAGGACAAAACCAGGACTAAACCAGGACTAAACCAGAGCTGAACCAGAACTGAACCAGGACTGAACCAGGACTGAACCAGGGCAAAACCAGGACTAAATTAGGACTAAACCAGGACTAAACCAAAGCTGAACCAGGACTGAACTAGGTCTAAACCAGGATTGAACCAGGACAAAACCAGGACTGAACTAGGTCTAAACCCGGACTGAACCAGGACAAAACCAGGACTAAACTAGGACTAAACCAGAGCTGAACCAGAACTGAACCAGGACTGAACCAGGGCAAAACCAGGACTAAACTAGGACTAAACCAGGACAAAACCAGGTCTAAACCAGGACTGAACCAGAGCTGAACCAGGACTGAACCAGGACTAAACCAGGTCTAAACCAGGACTAAACCAGAACTGAATCAGGACTAAACCAGGACTAAACCAGATTTGAATCAGGACTGAACCAGGTCTACACCAGAACTGAACCAGGACTAAACCAGGACCAAACTAGGACTAATCTTGGACTAGAACATGGAATCTAGGACTGCCCCTGAGAGAAACTCTGAGCGCGATTGGGCGTCAGCTGTGTTTAGCTTCACCGCTGCTGATATCAAGGTGATTTTAGCGAATTTGTATGAAGAAAAACGAAAAACCCACCACTTCAATCCAGGTTAAAAAAGCTTTGTGATGCGCGTTACTCACATTTGTACAGAGTAAAATATTAACACTTTTTTCCCTGTAATGCCACTTTACTGCGTTACAGCAAAAAGCAACACATTACAGTAATTTGTTACTTTTATAACACGTTACTCCCAACACTGATCTTGAGTTTAAATAATGTCACCACTTTTTATTATTATTGTAAGAATTGGATTGTAAGAAAACAATTTTTCTGACAAAAAAAAGACGTTGAACTTTGTGCCAGTTTTTGTTTCATGTGGATTTCCCCAGTGATTACAGAAACATGAACCATAAAACAGGTCAAACATCAGTTCAGTCTGAAAGTAAAATAGTCCATTGTTGTGGAAATAGCCGTGACAGATACAGATGTAAACTCTGAATATTATGAATGAACACGAGTCAGACCTTGATGTGGAACTCCAGGTTCTCGTCCATGGCAAAGATGTGGTTGAAGATGTCCTCAGCGATACGAGGGATGATGCCCATCTGGTGAGGGTCATGGAGTTTACCCTGGAAAAGAAGCACACAGGAGGATTAACACTGAGGTGCAGGACAGTCAGTACAGTGTTAAAGTTGACCTCATATCTGTGTCACCAGGTACAGTATGTTCAAATCGAATATAACTTTGACTGATAAGTATAATATCAATTACAAAACACTGGATATTATGCCAAGTTGTTAAAATGTTGGGGGACTCTTTCCGACGGACCGATCAAGCGGCAAGTGAAGAAGAAGAACTACAACATGAAAAGTAAAGGAACGGAGAAGCTGGAAATGTAAGTAAAAGTAATTTATTGTTTTATCATTATTCGTTTCACATTGTAGTTCTTCTTCTTCACTTGCTGCTTGATCGGTCCGTCGGAAAATTGAGTCCAGCGGTCACTTCCGTTGTGGCTTTTTAATGTGTTGCGGCATTTGCGTTTGTGTTGTGGCGTTTGTATTTGTTGCGGCGTTTGCATTAAAATAGAGTCCCACGGCCAATTGTGGCTTTTTTTGGTTTGTTGTGGCTTTTTCTTGTGTTGTCGCATTTGTATTTGTTGCGGCGTTTGCTCTCTCTCGGCTTCCGTACTTACCTCCATGGTGTGGGTCTTTCCAGAGGAGGTTTGTCCGTACGCAAAGATGGTGCCATTGTATCCTCCCAGCACATCTGAGGAGACACAGAGGACAGAGGACACGTGAAGAGAAGACGCTGGGAGGACGGTGGGGGAGGGTGAGGGTAATCAGTGAAGTGGATGTGAGTGACTGACTGTTTGCCAGGAGACGGGGGATCTAGCAGTAAAGGTTTACAGCCCTCATTACGGTAATAAGTGTGTTTGTGAGTGAGTGGGTGGTTGTTTGGGTGGGGGCGGCTGGATTGGTTTGTGGGGGACTGACCCTTGACGATCTGCTTGGCGCTGGTGTTGTAGACCTGCTCCTGGGTGGTGTTGGTGGGGAACACTCTGTCAAACACGTACGACTTCCCCTGGACACACAAAATGGAAAAGAAATGTTAGAGATCGACAGTTTTAATTCACTTTTTCACCATTTATCGCTATGAAACCCTAATATTTAACAGCTCACGTGTCGTCCCCGGTGAACCAAATCCGTCTTTTTAAACAAACCAGTGAGTTAAAATGAAAACGGAAGAGACATAAAGCTCGAGGAGGTTAGTGGAATGTCAATTTTAGACTTGAGATGTCGACAAAACTTAATGATCCACATGGGAAATTACTTGGACGCAGTAGCTTCACACATCACATTGCATCATCTACTGTTTTCTCTCTGCGTTTGAACCATAATGACGAAACCAGTTTGGAGCAGATTTGGAAGATTTCAAGTAAATTCACTCTCTCTGCACTTATTAATACGTTATAAATAAAATTATCACCATTGCAATATCAACTGATACAATAACTATCGTAACTACTGAATACATATTGTGTTTGTGTCTGCTTTAGAGTTATAATCTATGACACTCGGGGATTGTTTTGTTATTGTTTACACATTTTAAATCACAATATATAAAACCACTTAATAAAGAAACAGGAACGCTGACTTGAAAAATGGGGCGCCATAGTGGGAAATTATGGTAGTGAGAAGTGGATTTTTATCATTTGTACAGATTGACAAAATTAAATTGTAGAAAATGGAGCAATTCGGTGTCATAAAAATAAATAATTAAAGATGCCTGAAACATGCATGAATCACTACGAATACAACTTCAGGTGAATAAATGGTGAGAGGAAACAACTCTGAAAAGGAGATTCTGCGTAATAGATCTGATTTACGAATATATATTTTGATATATTTGATATATATTTTGATTGAACAACATTATAATTATAATTACTAATTTTCACATTAACCTCTTAATGCCTGAATAGATGTATAGAAAAAAATGTTTTGTGTGTGTTTTTGCCTTTAAGTAGATGGTAAATTCAACAGGGATTATTAATTTGACTATAGCAAAAAAGATAAATAAATAAATAGAAATTTGGGTATGTTGCAAGTTTGCCACAATAAGATACAAGAGCTTGCCAAAGGGTCCTCGGAAGGTCCTGTACATGCATGAAGCGGCACTGGGGGAATGTATCTTGATCCAAAGGATTTGTTGCATAATTGTGACAGTCGACATTAAGAGAGGTTCAAGAACTCCTTTTATTCATATTTTATGATCTGTTATTTTCTCGTCACAAACACACCTGGAGTTGTGTTTTGTTTCATTCACACGCTGAACACACAAACCCTCCAGATTTAGGCTGAGCTCTTCTATCAAACAGAAAACACTGTTCCACCTTGTGATGTCATGTGGTAACAGGAAGTGCTCCACTGAGTTTTTAGCCCTACCAGCTTGTCAAAGTCTGATCCCCCTCAGATGTCAGGTCAGTATTTGGATGGGAGACCGCTGGGAAAATCAGGAGCCACGGGGGAAGCACAAACATTTTAATCATCAAAACGGTGAAAATGTCAAATGAGTCACAATCCGTGTATCATTCGTTCATTTGTTTTTCAATATAAAACCAAAAATAAGAAAATGAAAAAACTACAGTTTTCTTCATTATTTGTCTCCAAACCCAAAATGAAAAAACAGATAACGATTCTTTTTTTATTTTCAGTTTTCGATTTTGTGTTTAAATGAAAAATGGAAAAAACAGTTTCCCGTTTACGTGACTTCTGTGACTCCGATGCCGGACTGAACCAGTACTGATCCAGGACCAGAGTGGGACCAGACCGGGACTGAGACCGGGACCAGAGTGGGACCAGAACGGGACTGAGACCGGGACCAGAGCGGGACCAGAGTGGGAAAAGACCGGGATCAGAGCAGACTCCGAGCTTTGACTCCGAGCCAACGCGGGGTCCAAGCCTCATCTTCGAGCTCCGGCTCGGCCGTGGGCACTGATCCTCTGGTCTGGTCCCAGTCTGGTCCTGGACTACTCTCGGTCTCAGTCCCGCTCTGGTCCTGGTCTGGTTCCGGTCTGGTCCCGAACCTGGATGAGTCCTGGTTCAGTCCGACATCACAGTCACAGAAGTCACGTAAACGGGAAACAGTTTTTTCCATTTTTCATTTAAACACAAAATCAAAAACTTAAAAAACAAATCATTATCTGTTTTTTCATTGTGGTTTTGACAAATAGACAAATAATGAAGAAAACTGTTGTTTTTTCGTTTTCATATTTTTGGTTTTATATTGAAAAACGAATGAACAAATGATACACGGATTTGTCACATAAACAATTTTCCTTTCTCTAAACAAGCAACAAAACTGTAGCTCTGTAACAAAATAATTTCAGAAAATCTACAAAAAAATTATTTTGGGGATCACATTAAACTATACAATATGTCGATATTTTGATATTTTTGCACATCTTTAGTGGTTTGGAGTGAATAAATAATGTTCAGTAAAGCATCTTTGAGTGTCCAGAAAAGCGTTATATAAAACTGATACATTATTGTACACCTTCACTAGAATCATTTGGATTATTTCAATCCAGGAATTACCAATCTCTACTAAACAAAAGGTAAAAGAAGCTGTTGAAACTTGAAAACTACAAGTTTAATGACATCATAAGGTGGAAAAGAGCAACAGAACAGTGTTACTCAGGCTTGTGTGAACGAAACAAAACACAACTCCAGCTCTGTTTTTGAGGAGATAATAACATTCTAACACGTCTTAAAGCTCACAAGAGTCAAATTTTGCGATGTAAGACCTTTAAAACAGCTGTAATGTCTCGAGTTTATTGTTTACTTTATTGCGATATCTTAAACAGTAATAAATATCATGTTTCAAAATTATTTTAAAGGAGCTGGGATTATTTATTAGCAGCTCGTCTAACAGTCAGTCCATTAGCGGGAGTCACAGTGAGTGTATCGAGCGCCCCGGTCATCTGCTTTATGATGTATTGATGTCTCATTTAGCCCAATCAATAAATGGGCTAAAGAGGAAACAGGGGGAGAGCAGGGGATGATGGGAAATGGAGTCATGTCTACTCTACAGTGTGTATGAGCAGATTTTGGCTCATCCTCGGTCGACAGGTAAACAAAACAACAAAAATAATAATATTACACAAGTACAAGGAGAAAAAAGTGGACCAAGAAATGACTCAAGTAAAAGTAATTAATGCGGGAAACTAGTACTCAAGTAAGACTAACGTAAAGAGTAATTAAATCATCAAATCATGAAATAATTCTGACAGTACTCATGTCAAAATACTACTTCTCTGAAAATCTGTTGCAGTTCCTTTAATATCTCAGTGGTTTTAGTGATGTTTTAGGATTTCTTAAATTGGAAAAGTTTAATATTGCAACTAAGAATTCAAGAAAATGAAGAAAAATTTGAACAGAAATGAGGCTCGTTTATGGAATACTGCAAATCATTAAAAAAATCTGCTCCATCCCCTCTGCTCTTTCTCTTCCTTTGATTTTATTTTTTATCATCATCATTATTATTGTCTTTCAATTGTTTCTTTTTATTTAATTTCTGATATCTGGATTTGACACTCATTATCAAGATTTTTTTTTTTTTTTTTTTGAAAAAAAATAAAAAATAAAAATAAATAATAATATAAATATAAATAAAATAAAATTTAAAATAAATAAAATTATAAATAAAATAAATCTCGTATAAGTATACTGTAATTCCTTAAAAAAAAAAATTGATAAGAAAAATAATTTCATATTGTTAACAAAAAGCTTGTAAGAAGAGCAATCAAAACTTTTACTCAATTAAGAGTTACTTTAATAAAAATATTACTCAAGTAAATGGTGTGAACAGATACTGGCTCATCCTCAGTCAACAGGAAAACAAAACAAAAAAATAATAATATTACCAAAGTACAAGGAGAAATTACAACTCAAGTAAAATGTAAAGAGTAACTGTTCATCGTCATTAAATCCCCAAATCATGAAATAAAACATATTCAAAAGTTCAAATCATTTGGTAAAAATCTTGTTGGAAGAGAAATCAAAACGTTTACTCAAGAGAGAGTTACTTCAATAAAATATTACTCAAGTACATGGTCAATAAAGTGGCTGATGAGGAAACAGGGGGAGAGCAGAGGGAAATGGAGTCATGTCTATTCTACAGTGTGTGAGCAGATTGCACGGTGACCGTTAGCACTTTCGTCTCACAGTAAGAAGGTTCCAGGCTTGAACACCCTTTTTTTTTTGTGTGTAATTTTGCCTGTTCTCCTTGTGTCTGTGTGGGTTTTCTTTGGGTGCTCCATTTCCCCCCATCAACCCAAAACATGCACAATAAAAAAAAAAATCCTCCAGCTAAGGTACACTGCAAAAATCTTGGCCAAAATTGAAGATATGAACACTTAAATCTATCAGAAAATGACCTAAGAGCAGTGAAATTATCTGTCCATGCATCAAGTTATTTTAAAATAAACGACCTCTAGACTAGAATTACACAGACTCAGAACTAGATAATAAATCTGAAAACAAGATGAATAACCTGATAGAAGTTTTAAATCTTGGTACTGTCATGATAATACGTTTTGAAGTGTGATATATATTTGTTAAAGGTGCTTGTATGGGTCAGAAATGCCTCAAAAAACTCTCCCTCTGACTGTGAGTGGGGTTGTTTCTCCACAGATCTGACCTGTAGCTTGGTCTGGTTTGGTCTCCATGAAGATAGAAAGGTTTAATGCCATACTGTGGAACATTCTAGACAAAGCATTGGACTCTCCACCAGAAAAGTTACACAACGCACCTTGGAGTGAGGAATAACTTTGGACCAAAACTAGTTATCAAAATGAGCAGTGTTTAGAACCGCCCCATCTGGAGATTTTCTAATTATCAGTGAGTGTAGAAGTCGTAAATATGAACAGTCCCTCGTCTGTGGTAAAAGCCGGTGTGGCGTGTACTGTCTCTGAGTCTCTGAGTGCACTGGACTTTGCATTACATTGTTTACACTGGACCACAGACGCACATTAAAGCTGCACTGTGTCACTTTTCTGATAAAAGAGATGTCATCGCTTT